ATATATAGACGCTATATCCTTTTAACATATATATGAGGGGTGGCTGAGGCTCATATCATAGCCGCCGGTCATTTCTTTTAAAATATATATATAGCTAGTTGAAAAAAAAAATGAAAAATAAAAACAAATAAAATACACCAACAAGACACGAAGTGAGCTAACCACCTAAAGAAAAGAACTTTGAAGGTCCGCATCAAAAGCATCTAACATATAGTTTAGTATATTTTGGACAGTGACAAATACTTTTTTAACATTTTCTTCTCCTCTAAACGTTTTTTTATTCACCAACACTTATGTACTAGAAAAGCTATCATCAAAACGAACAGACAGAGAGTTTGGATCATTATTATCTACAATAACAAGATGACTGCGAGAAGAAAACAATTATGGTGGTTCAAGATAAAAATCTTATGCGTAGGTTCAGAGGCAATCACAACCATACTTGCATCCATAGAAGGCTATGATTTCAAACTTGAATTTAAAGTTGATTCAAGATTTTGTGCGCAGAATGGATCACAAGTAGCCAGACTTATCACAATTGCATTAGAAAGAAAGTCGTTATAAGATAAATTCTCCCCACAGCCCCAATTGCTAAGAGGTTTTCACAGATCTAGATGTTGCCCAAAAGCATCCTAAGAAGTTGTACCAAAAAAAAAGGTGACTCTTGGCCCAAAAAAAAAAACAAAAAAGCATCGTTGTACCATCATGAGGCCTAGATCTAGTGACTTGTATATTGTGATTGATTTTTCATGTGCAACTAAAATTTTTTCAAATCTGCACAATCTTATTTTTCATATTAGAATGAGAATCTCAATCAGGAAGTAACTTTCATTTGATCTCATACTATTTTGATGGCAATTAATTTATTGTTTGGAGTGAGAAAGGAATGTTCTTAGTTTTGCATCAAAACAGATAAACGTTGCCTAATACAAGAGTCAATGAAGTGTAAACTTTAATCTTTGGTCTCCTTAATTTCTACATTTTATCCTAGGTTTATATTAGTGAAATCTAGAATCTTAAGATGTTACCTAAGTGCAACATGCCAATAAGGGAAGCAGCATGGCAAGAGTTAAGGATGGCCACAAACAGACAATGCCCACCTAAATATTGCATTCAATGATTGTTTCAGTAACTGAGTTTTAATCATTTTAAGCCCAGTTCATCCAGTAATCTGAAACTCATCAATATGACAGACTAAATGAAAATATGAGCTACCAATATGAACCACAAAACTTGCTTCCAGCATGCCTTTATAAGTTAGCATGACTTTTAAAACAATTTTAGCAATCAAGCCAGTTCAAGCCCATAATCAACTTACTAAAACAACATAAAAAGGATGATTATGAAGTGTGATTAAAAAGAAAATAAAGATCTAAGACTAGCAGACTCTTTTAAGCAGACAAACATATCAAGCATAACAAAGGACATACTCCCATTTCCATCAGGGACTCCGCTATCACTAGCCTGTGTGTTGCTTGAAGTTGGGGCATCAGTATCCATGGCGGCAGAAGTAGCTTCAGGATGATTAAATATCCAATCTGTAGCCTTCTCAATGTTCCCACCCTGCCAAAAAGTAAACAAGATACTTTATAACATACCTACATGTTAAGATATTTCTCAGAACCAAGCAGGAACAAATTTTAAGGCAATTCACAATATCATAACACATGAAGCATGGGTTTACATGAATAATAACATATTTCACCAAAAAATGGTAGATGAATTAATTACATACCGAGGCCTTCAATGCTTTTCGAGCAACAACTTCCTCAAATCCAAATGAAATCAGCGTTTCGACACTTGCTTCATCAATAATTAAACCGGTATCTCGAGGCCCGTAATGAATAGGATCATCAATATCTACAGAAAGAGAAAGAGGTTTTCATATAAGCTTATCATATAAGCTTAAAAAAAAAAAAACTTCTCATATAAGCCAGTTATGATGCTTCAGAAACTGAAACTTATTAAGTGTTTCTTCTGAGGCAGAATGTGGCATGATAAACAACTTTTCTGGTTCCCTATGGCCATCGCATCAACCTTTGGTAAAGTAACAGACTAATATGTTATTATTCTGAAGCCAAACCTGGATCATCCATGTGGGACAGTAACCAATTCATTGCTTCCTCAACCCCAACATTGAAAGTGTTAATAGCAGCTTTTTGACAATGGAGATAATTAAATCCCATAGCTACCAGCTGTGAAACAATATCCTCGTTGGGGACAATGTGTGTGCCTTTAGGCTCATCAATGACAGAAGCTGCAGAACATCAATGAAATTTCATAACAGTGACTACACACAAACACTACAATTTAACTTTCCAAAAAAACAGTCAAAACTTCTAACACTTATTTATGTCAGCCTACCTTTCTCTGGAAGTAATTGTTCTCCTAACTGAAAACCTTTGCTGCGCATATTGGTGATATCAATAACATCAGGAACGTCTATGTACACATCTAAAGAAAACATAAAACAGAAAAAAAAAAGATACAATAAGGTTGCAGTTGCAGTAAATATTTAAACAATTATACTATTAGCCCATTAGCCCAGCAAAACGAGCAGAATGAAGGAATATTACCCAGTTTCTTTGGAACCCATCCTTCCTCTAATACAAACTTGCGCATGTGCAGAACCAGGAAATCGGGGAAAGTTATAAAGCCAGCGGTTCTGCAGAATGATCCATCAACAATATGTACAATAAGTTAGCATCTGAAAAAAATAATCTCACCAATCTTTATTTGACTAAAACTAGATAAATTCTCAATCTTTGCAGTTTGAATTCAACAGATACCTAGAATTAGATTGGATTATGTACCAACCATATCTACAGTTCTAAGGACAAAGAATCAATTTTATGAAACATTAGAATTATCATCTTTGATTGAATAAATTTTATAATCCTAATTTTCAATTTTGTATGTACAAGTTGGATTTGTTATTCTATGAAGTGAACTGAAATTGTGACTATCTAATGTTATGGGAAATCTGCTCCTTGTAACGGCATGAGACGTAAATTTCTTAATTTTGTAAATGTTTTCTTTGATTCGATTTCCTTATCAAATTATGTTATTGGATTATCAGGCTCCTAATTTCATTCATGTTTATAACAACTGGGATCTACGTCTTCCGATTAGAATAGATTGCTTAATGATTTTGCATTACTCAAATTTCTGATTACTTGTTATTAATATTGCAGTAATTCTTAGTTTTTAACTCATATTTCTTTTTATTTTGGGAATGTTTATTTGGTTATTTTAAATGTATTGCAATTGCAGGCGTTTAAGTTTTTTAGTATTTGACTAAGTAAAGTAGATTCGAAGTAATATTTAGAAAAATTAGAAACTCCCCATTATCTATTTTTTTTATATATTCCAACTTTGCCATATTTGGTTGAATTCAAGATACAACATGCAGGGAAGCAAGAGAAAACCCCATCACAGCCCATCCACACTAGCGCCGACTCAACATCACAATGCCATCGTGACCTAGCCCCAAATGCCAGTAATCCTAAACTGGCCTCAACCACAGACCAGATAACAAAACCATTGGATTGATCGTGATCAAGTTGAAACCCATTGAGAGCCCATGCCCACCCCACAACATGAAGACCACCAGACCACATGCTCAACCCATCAAACCTATCATGACCTTGTTGAACCCCATTGCAACTTCATGCCCAACCCACACCGAGCCCAGGCCTTACGCTGATGCCATCGAACCCAATGCAACCTCGCTGAACACTATCACAACCACACATGCACCAATCAACACAAGCTCATGCCAACACCACTGAACTTGCCAACCCCGACCAATAACAACATCGACCCCTCAACATTTTCCATCGTTGTAAACCCTTATAATGCGTTCCGAGTAAAAAAAAAAAGTAATAATAATAAAACACTTAAATTCACTAAATATTTCAAATGCATTTATCGTACTTTACATTCGATTTAAAATACACCAGCAATTTTGCATATAAATAACCCCTTAAAGAAATTATTGGTTTGCGATTTGTGAATTATAAGTTTATTCACTTGATCTATATATATCGTATAATTCTAATTGCATTAGGAGCCACAAACTCAGAATCATCCCAACAACTTTTATTAGGCTGAATAAATTTATCAAAGGACGGGGCCATAAAGTTTGAAGAAAGACAAAAAAAAGTTGCATGTATAACACGTAATGTCTAATCATGATAAGAAAAACCATGCTCCGTACAGTATTATCACTGAAAGAATAAAAACATGTTGGAGTAGACTCTCACTATGAATTTATACTCACTTGATTGCTGTTGTCTTTTCATTAAGTGCGGTGCTATAGAAATCATGCACCTCCTCTGGGTCTGAAAAACATTTAAGGCATGCTTCTAAAGGGATTCTTGGCCGTATAATTTCATGATTAATTCTGTGGGCGTGGAATGATTTTAGTGACATTCTGGTGAACAACAGGAAAAATGGGGCAATTCTAAAAAAATTAGGAAAGTGACAAGAGGAGAGCATAGCTTACGGTTGCTTTTCGTCCACAGACTTATCTGCCCTATTTGCTTCCAGTTGCTCTGTAATATTATAGTAATGCATAAGGAAACTAGCCATGTAACACGTGCTCTAAGTTTGAGCATGTGAGTACCTTTATTAGTTGCTTCAGCGAGCGGGATATTCAAAGAAAGGATAAAGTCAGCCCTTTTATTATAAGCAACTTTTCCCTTCAATAAAAAATTTAAAACTTCTTGAGGGATTTAATTCAGGTTTTCCAGTATGGGCCTGCTCAACTTGGTCAAGAAGATGCAAAAAGAATTCCAAAGCATCCTGAAAGTAAACATGACATCAATTATTATGGTTAAAATGCTTGATGTGAACATCATAACAATGTACACTGCCATCATGTATTGCTGCAAAGGTAATAATAAGACTAAAATCCATGATGGCATAATGCCACAACGTAAATGAGTTGTGCAGACACAAGCTTTGAGTTTTATGCTTTTAGAAATAACCTAACAAATCAGGCATGCCATAGTAATTTACTTCCAAAAGAAGAACAGCAAAACTATAAAAATTATTGAGTTCATTGTTTTTTTCTCCCCCACTCCTATTGCCGATTTTTACCCTTCCTCCTTGATCCTTAACCTCTATACAAACAGCACTCGTTCTTCTCATTGTAATAAGTAAAATCATTCTGTCTCCTATATTTTGTGCAATTTATTCCTTCACCAAGCATGCATAAGACAAACAAGGATACGAGTTAAATATACTTCTTAATCACCATTTAACCATTATAGACCCATGCACACAAACCACCACTATGATCATGATTAAGGCTTAACATCCATGGAAAAAAAAATTAATCTCGTGTAAAATTTAAAACCAATGTCCTGGAAAAAAGAACTGTAATCACTGGAAAAGCAAATTTGAAAAAACCCTAGACCCCAAGCCAGAAAGTAACAAAACCGTCTAAGCACTACCCTGCTGGGCAGGACTCTTGTGGGGTGTGGTAAAGGCAGTTAAGCAATTATAGAGAAGAAAAACAAAACAGCAAAAACAAGAGTTAATATCACTTATGTCTGCCAGTATTAATGGGGGCAAATTTTGAAATGTCCTCAAGTATCAAAGTTAGTAAGAGAAAAAACATTTTGCTCTCTTAAATACTAATGTTTGCCAATTTTGAATACAGCTACACAAGATTATAAAAAATATTTTTAAGTTCTTCATAAGTTCTCAAGTAAATAGAGCGGATAATTAATTAATTCACATAAAAAATCACATAAAATCAAAAAAAAAATAAACATATACTAATGAAATGTTGGAATTTAAGTGTATACCTGTTGTCTCATGCTTGAAAATTCAGGATGGCTAGCTGCAATAATTGTTTTAAACATACGGGGAGGAATACCTTCCTGCTTCTACAAAAAAAATAAAAATAATAAAAATAATAAACTAAAGATGAAATGAAAGGGACAAATAGCTATAGTTAAATAAAATGCCTTGAAATCTCTTCTTAGAACTACATAAAAACGGAAAATAAGAAGGTTGTACTCTTATCTTCTCGTTATTGTCATTTTATTTGGATTATTTTCTTTATTTGTGTCAAGATGGGGATGGGGGCACACTACAACCCTGAACTTTCAAAGCAAGTACAGCAATAAAAAGTATATAGCCAAAATGTTAACCCGTTGAGTGCAACATTCTACAATTGCAAAGCATTCTGTCACTGAATGATCTACTGGTTTCCATTTACATTAATCCAGTTCCAGTTAGTAAGTGATGGAAATCTATAAGTTCATAAACATTGAAATGCAAGATGTGAGCAGTGGAACAAGAATACTGACATCATGAGTTTAGATATTTTCTAGCTATCTTATTTTTCAACTTTTTTAGTTATTGATTGACATAGCATGTCTAAGTTGATGGCTCCTATGAGAACGCTATGTATTCTCAGATGTTTGGATTCCATGGTTGGTTTTACTGCCTAGACTGCAAGCAAATAGTTGTAGCACTCATCACATTCTTTGTTTCAATGCATCCACTGCTTAGAATTGCCTAGCCACTAATCTGGAAGTGTACAGTTGGTAACATGTGTTGTCCAATTTTCCCTTCCTGATTTTGCATTGTAGCTGAGGATTGGCAACTACTGATTTGCGATTGCCTATGTTGTAGACTATAGTCACTTGCAGGTCCTAGATTGCCGATGGATTAGTTTTGTTTTTAAATGTGCAAAACGTGTATGTGTTTTCATTGTATGTTTTGTTGTTGTATTGTGTGGGATTGGGATCATCCTACTGTTGGGATCACAGATGTTAGGATTCCTTCATTCAACTGCCCTACCTTTCATTTCCTTTATTGGAGGCTAAACAATGTCGTCGAACTGAAAACTTGCTGGTTGGGACTGAGAATCTAAGATTTATGAAATTGAAATTACAATTTTTAGCCAAATATACAAGAATTGAAAAACGACTAATTTTGGGTCTTTTTGAATAACAAATAGAACAGCTAAAGCATGTATAACTTCATCAATTACCATACTAAAATTAATATTTCCCCTCAAACTTGTGTTGGCTCAAAGCAAATGTTTCGAGTGTAGTGGAAATCTCAACCTTGTACCAGCATGAAGCTTGGATCTTCTAATTGGTAACCATTATCATTATATTTTCTTTATCTAAATACTCTATAATTAATTTAACATGTGTTTAAAATTTAGTCGAGTTTGTCGAATTCTTATTATTCTTTTTGTAGGGTGAATGTTAAATTTTTTGTGGTTTCATTCATTCTCAGGTGTAAAAGATAGATGAGCCTCTACAATATGATTCAATTAATAATCATTGTTTGTATGAAAGCATTCTTTAAGCCCTTTTGTTTCAAAGATGAATTCAAACTTAGTTTGTTGATGAGTAACTTATTAAAATTTCTGAGACCATAATTCGAAGGTATGTGAAAAGTTTAAAATTGATAGCTTAGGAAAAGCTACCCCTTCTCTCAAGCCTACTCCTTGTGAGTTTGATGCCTACCAAAAAGACATTTACGCGACCTCTTCTATAGTACTGTGAGCCCTGCTACAGTATCATGACGCGCAAAAAGCTGCTTTCTCACATAGATCAAACCGGTCAGGATTTTTTCTAGAGAGTGGAGTTCGTTGGTCCTCTTGGTTATTCCTAACTATTTTATTATTATATATTTTCTTTCATGGGAGTTTAGGGTGAGATTTTGCATGAATTTGTTTGAGATTGCAGTCTGCATCTCGATTTTCCCACTGAGGGCTATATCTGAAGGTTTGAATAGTGCTCCAGTTGTATATCTCTCCTGAGGTGGTGACTACCTTATCCCCCTCCGCATCTTCCCCGCGACGCTCCCAGCTGCGCTACATCATTGTAGTCGCCCGTGAAATAGCACTCGTTTGATATTTCCACTACATTTTTTCAATTCCAGCCCCTCTTGCTCGCTACCACCGCCCCGGATAGCCGCCCCATGTTGTCCTGCAGTCCCCTGCTTCGTCTCCTTCTCTGTTGCCTCTTCTTCCATTCTTGCAACTGTCCTAGACAGAAATTTCTGTTGTTAATCCTGCAGACCAACCGTTCACCGCCTGCTTCTATCAATCCAACCTGCAGCCTTGTGGTCACAGCAACTTTCCCCTTGTTGGCATCAGCCGAAAAGCAGTGTCCTTTTCCTATTGTTCCAACATTTCCCACAGCATGCCACAGCTCCGCTTGCCACCCCACTTGTGTCCTTGTTATCCTAGTCTCCCCAACTGATGCTTCCATCCCTTTTTGTTGTGTTGCCGCTATTTCCCCGTAGTTTCGCACCTTCCGTGCATAATTGTCACCTTTCCAAGGCCCTAACGGCCACCACCACCACTCATGATCTACCCAACAACGTTTTGTGTGTCATGTTGTTGTTATTTCCCATTTTAGTATGTTTGGTTGTAACCACCTTGACTTTTTAATTAACAATATTTATTTTAAATATTGTCGTTTGGGTTAACTCCAATATCATTTGGTATTAGAGCTAGTCTAACCCTAATCTTATCATATAATTTTTAACATCCACCGATACCAATTCCTATCTCCACCCAAAATTATTCTTTCTCACCCTGCACCACCCCTACGCACATTCTTTCACCTACCACACCCAAAATCGAATCATATCGCCAAAGTGAAAATTGCAAAAACTTGACCAGAAGTTCATCGTGGAAGAGATGCAGCGGCAACTCTACTGAGTGCTAAAGAGGCTCGATGAAATTGAGAAAATGACCTATGGAGAGGTACCTATGAGCGTGGCAACGAGATCCGAATAGAAGAGAGAAAGAAACACTTGAATCCCTTTAGTAGGGATGAATCCAGTAGAAAGGAAGACAAGCCACAACGCTTTGGGACACGATATTAGAGGAGCTGGAGAGATGAAGTGCCTGTTAGAGATTTCAGAGATGAAGAACCTTTACTCCGAATATTTTGACTTCAAATATTTGAGAAGACTTACCAGAAATATATGAGAAGATGAGGTTTTGAAGCAAATGTGAATTTGACATGTATAGACGGTCACTTGGAACCGACTAGTTCATCAAGTGGCTTCAAACTGTGAAACTTTTTGTGAGTATCAGGACGTCCTACCAGACAGAAAGGTGAAATGAGTCCCCAGCAAATTAAATAAAAGTGCAATGTTTTTTGTGAAAATTTTGTTGAAGCACATATGCATAGTTTATTGAATGTTACATTTTTTATTGACTTCAGCTTAGAAGAATTAATGTCATAACGAGTGTATCATCATACTCACACTGAAAATAATCTTGCGCTAGTAAAAGCTTGGCCCGAGACCTCTATATGCATAGTTTGGCTTTACCATTCCCAAAAAATAGCAATTATGACCAAAGCCCTCTGAATGGATGATTTGTTCACAAATGACATCATTAAATTATGGCTACGACCGTAGCACGTATGTTTCTCAACAATTTTCTACTTTTTGAGTTGTGAATCATAAATAAATATTTGATGGTCACAAAATCCTCTATCAGCTAAGGCTGAGTTAGCTTTTTCCCTTTAGACAAATATGCATCCAATATCTACAAGGGTCTTCTAGATGACAACTTATGACTGCTAAAGAGAATCATTTCGTCGGGTCGGGTTGACTACATCTTTGACTAAGTAAATCAAGGATCACGACAAACCAAGACGACAAAACCTTGGGATTTTGATTGGGTTTGTTATCATTTCCCACCATATGTTTCAAGCTCAAAGTGATAAATCATATAATCTAAAACTTGATTACATTGTTATCACAAATCGAATATTCATTGTTTAATGACTAGTCTTTAAAAATGCTCTCTCATTATTGAGATGCTATCATAAAAATTTGACCCGGAATAAATACAAGGTTCTCTCAACGAGTTCTCCGGTGAATGAATTTTTGGAGCCCACAAACCTCCGGGTATTTTGAACCCAGCACCGGAAGAATCAACATTAGAACATGTTTCTACTTGAAGAAAAAGTTCTCTGTCAGTTGCAAATCTGAAATAATAAAATCCAACATTCAGAAAAGTAGCAACCACTAAAGTCTCATCCAAAGGACGCTAACAGTGTTTAAAGAAAACAAGGAAAAAAAAGACTTTCTAGTGCTTTTATACCAAAACTTTAGTAAATTAAAATCATAAATGGCATTTTAGGGTTATAAAAAATCTTTACAGAGAAAAACAAGCAACGTCACAGGCAAAGCAAGACATAACAACTTAAAGAATATTTATCTTGGTATTAGGCCTTTCGTTACTTCAGTTTCAAATCAAGCAAAAGGTCAAATGCAACATGACCACTTACAACGCTTGAACTGGCACTTTTGCAATTTCTCGAGTCCTCTACCTGCAAGACAAAATATATCATCTTCCTGCAGTAACTGTGAATCCTTAAGGCAACCAAAAAACATATTTTAAATACCTCTAGAGTTGGTATCGAATATTTTCCAGACAACAAACCATGAGCCAGCTTTGTCCTATTAAATGATCCGATCACATTAAACATAATCAATAGGAGAACAAAAGCAGAAATAGCAAAATACTACTAATTAATTACGTCACATAATTCTATGACAGCATCTCAATCAAATTCAACTACATTACATAGTTTAGAGAATGCCCGCAGACCTCATCCCTACAAGTTCTTATCACCAAAAGGAATATACAATAGGCAAGTTTTTGGCAATGTTTACTTCTCTGTCAAAGCCACTCAAGCAAGTTTCACGATACCAGAGAGCTAAAAAAAAATAGTTCATCAAAATTAAAATTATTGTAAAAACCAAAGAAAACAAATTCAAAAAGTTTCAGCAGATCAATTGGAAAAAGTAGCAGATAAATAATGATGAAGAATGTAATATATAGGTAATCAGAAACAACAACAACCTACAACTTAGCTAGGTTTGTAAAACTGATTCTAACAAATAACAAATAGAATTCTTAAACATCAACATTGTCATTGCCAGGTCTCAAGTCCCGGATGCGAAAAATGAAGGGTTACATTAAATAGTCGACAACCAGCATAAAATTTTGTTGAAAAGCTATGACATAAATCTTTCAAATTATTATGTCAATGCTAGGGGCGTCACCTGGAAGGGAAGCACTATATGGCCTGAATACAATAAAAAATGTGTAAGGGCCGCTGCGCTGGTATCAAAGTGTAATATTAAATAAGCAAGAATTTCCACATTATGGACAAATGCCAGCAAAGAAGTTAATCTATGAAACTAATATTAGAATAGGAATTTGGCATATAGGTATTCTCATAGGTAAATTAAATGAATTAGTAGATAATATGATTATATGAAAATAAATATCTTATGCATTCAAAAATAATCATGTCTTAATCAAACATATTTTGTTTCAAACAAAAAAATAAATAAATAGTAATAATTAAAAATAGTAAACCAAAATAAAAGTATTCTCAAACGCCTTTAAGCTATTAATTTCCATAGTTTTTTGTCCAACTCATTTAGTTTCTTGAATACTACAACAACAGCAACAACAAACCTGTAAGCTATTAATTTCCTTAGTTTTATCCCAAGAGCGTTTGAGATTACTTTTAATTTTATTTTTTATTTTTTATTTTTATTATTTATTTATTTATTTATTTGAGACAAAAATATTTAATATGTCTGATTAAGACATTGTTATTTTTTAAAACACATGCAAAACACAAATGTTGTTTTGAGAGTTTTGAAAAACATGTTAATATATTTTTAGAAACAAAAGAAAAAATGTTAAAAACACATCAAACAAAAATATTTTTTAAAAACAAAAACAAAAACAAAATTGAACCCGAACAAGTCCTGAAATTTAATTTAAATTGTAGTATTTAGGTAAGAGTTATAATAGAGATATTGTAGCTGTGATTACATATAATAGTTTAGAGCATAACAATATAAAAATTAATAAACACATCGATATAATTATAGTTTTACAAACCATTTTTTATATGAAGATTTTTAATGTTATAAGTATGTAAGCTTCCCAAATAGGTATAGATATATGGTCAAAAAAAATTGGAATGACCTAGAAGAATTGATCCAAAAATACATCTTGGAGAAAGAATTTTATAGGAGATTTAAACAGACATGGTGGTAGAAACAGAAGATTTTAGAAGAATTCATGGTTGTTATGATTTTAGAGTGACTAATGAAGAAAGTCAAGACATATTGGATTTTGTTTAAACTTATAATTTTGTTTTTGCTTATACTTTATTTAAAAAAGAGAAGAGCATATTATCACTTTTAAAATCTAATAATACAATAGATCTAATAAAATACAACTTAATAATTTTCTCTTGAGAAAATTAGATCGTCAAAATTGTAGAAATTATAAGGTCATTCCAAGTGAAGCTCTAAGTATATAACATCAATTATTAGTTTTGAATAATAAGAAGAAAAAATGAAAGATTATACAACAAAACATTGTTACAAAATTATATTTGGGCACTTAAAACATACAAATAAAAATATTTTTAGAAGTGAACATCAAAATATTAAAATTTGAGATGTTCCTGAAGAAGTTAGTACAATGTGGAATAAAAAAACGAGTACTATAAAACAACCTGTAAAAGATGTTTTTGAAGAATCGGAAGAAAAAATTCTTATAAATAGAAATAATTGGTGATGGAATAATAATATGCAAGAAAATATAAGACTTAAAAAAAATTGTTATAAAAATTGGTTCAGATGTAAAAGCTCGAAGAATTGAGAAAAATAAAAGGAGGCCCATAAGGAGTATAATAGAACAATTTATAGTGCAAAAAATTATGGTTTTATTAATCTTTAAAATAGATTAGATACTAAATTTAGTGAAATATTATACAAAAACTAAACATGCAGGAAGAAAAAAAAATATAATCCTCTCTCACTCATGATGCCGAAAATGAGGATGCTCTTCATTTAGTGCCAGATGATGCTGCATATGTTATTGAGGGCCCTCAAATCTTGGGGGGTTGCCAAGTTCAAGGTGAGCAACACATGGAAATTACCCCCATTGATGATCCCCTCAGTGATAAGTTGGGACAACCCTTGGATGGTGATTGACAATTTACAAAATCAGGAAGAAGAAAAAATGATTGAATGAACTTAGAAATTTAGAGGAGGATTCTTTAATCGTTTCGGGTGGAAGCCCTTATCATAGTTTAGTGTTAGACTCCCTCTCTAGAACCAGGGAGAGAGGAAAGCCCACTTATCATGATTAAGCTCTCTCGAGAACCATTTTATCCTTTTGAAGAAATTGACCAGCTGTTTTGGGGTATACTTGTATTTTTTTTGTGTTGTATTTTTGAGTCTTGTAGCACCCACTCACTAAAACCTTTATATCTTCTTCTCATCAATGAAATTTTAATTTTGGCGCAATATATATATATATATATATATATAAACTAGACATGCAGAAAGATAAGAGAAATAAAAATTTAGTTCAAATTTAGTGTATTGAAATATAAATATATAAAAAAAATTCATAGATTATGATATTTAATAAAAGGTGAGATTTTTTAATAAACTCTTCAATAAAATTATGAAAATTGAGTCGATTTTAGTCATCATAATATCGTAAATAATAGCAATGCTTTTATTTTCATCATCGCACTAATAAAACAAAATTTGAGCATGTTTTTAAAAAAAATGAAGTGTAGAAAAGCAATAAGATCTGATGATATTCCAATATAAGTATAAAAATGTTTAGAATATATTTATTTTTTTAATATTATTTTAAAAGTTAAAAAGATGTTTGATGAGTAGAGAAAGAGTTTATTGGTTCCTATTTTTAAGAATAAAGGGAATAAATAAGAGTGCAAATTACAAAGAAATTAAGTTAGTCATACACTAAAATTATAAGTGAGAATAATTGAAAATAAGTTACGATGTGATACAAAATTTCTCAAAATCAATTTGGATTCATATTAGGCAAATCTATCATAGAAACTATACATTTATTAAGAGATTTAATTGAGAAATATAAAGAGAATGAGGAGGATCAATATATTATTTTTGTTGATTTAGGAAAAACTTATGATAAGGTTTAAAGAGAAGTACTTTAGAGACTTCTAGAAAAAAATGTATTGATATTGCTTGATTAAAGCCATTAAAAATATGCATACTATAGTTGTACCTGTGTTCGAAAACAAAGAGTATGGACTAAATATTTTCCTATCTCAGTTGGATTACATCAAGAATCAGCTTAAACTCATTTTTTTTTCTTTATTTATGAAGATCTTATTGGACATTTAGAAGAGGATCTACCTTTGTGTAAGCTTGTCGCTAATGAAATACGTCTTCTGGATAAGCCTAGAGAAAAAGTTCAGGGAAAACTTGAATTACGGAAGTCAAGTTTAGAGTCTAAAAACATTTGTTTGAGTAGATCTAAAACTCAATACAAGGAACATAATTTTAGTAGTAATAGACCCAGTGGCCGTGATGCGGGAGCTTACGAGGTCGCGGTACTGTAGCTGTTACAATATTGCTACAGTACGGCGATCCAACCCTACCCCTTTCCTTTCCCGCTTCCCTCATATTTTCTTTTCTTATATATGATTCTCCTAATTTACTCATTGCCTATTCTATGCCCTTCATTTTTTATTTAATTCTTATTCTGATCATTGTTATTCTTTTTAGTAATCCCTATTATAAATATGTTGTTGGTAGTGCTAAGGTTCAATTTTTTATTATTCCAGATTTCAGTTTGCTGCCTTTGAGACGTTCTTCACTTCTGAGGACTGGAGAAGAGGCGTTTCGGCTATAACTCGTTCAACATGGTGTCGTCTCCAAGGGTCTGGATAGTGCTTCGGGCTGTAGCTCGACCCCATCAAGATATTTATCCTTCCAACTCCCCACCTCAACTCACTATCGTCATCTTCCGAGCACTGTCCCCCCTCTAGATCGCTGTCTAGACCACCGTCATCATCTTCTGGGTATTTTCGACCCTCCAAGTTGTCCAGTCCATTATCGCCATCTTTCGAGCACTATTCATCCTCCAGGTTGCTGTCCAGACCACTGTTGCCATCTTCCAGTCAATGTCCACCCTCCAGGTTGTCCAGATCGTTGTCGTCATCTACCATTTTATTTCTTATTTCCTGTTGTTTATTCTTAATGGAAGATTCGTCATTGTCGTTTGATCGTTTGCATGTTGGTGTTGTTCTATGTTGAGAGTTATAGTTGAATTTTCGTTGAATTCAGCAATAAAAATGTGTCGTTTGGTCATGATTTGAGTAAACTCTGGTCTCATGCGGGATTGTAATAATGGGTGACCAGGTCATTAAAAAAAGTGAAAGTTTATGATATCTAGAGTTTATTGTTCAAAGTGGTGATAAAGATGGAGATCTTATTAGTAAAATTCGGGTTGGATGGTTGAAGTGGAGGAATGCATCGGGTCGCTTGTGTGATAGAAAAGTGTCTATTAGTTAAAAGAAAATTTGGGTGCGACCATACCCGCACCAGTGCACCGGATCTCATTAGAACTCCACAGTTAAGCGTGTTTGGGCGAGAATAGTACTAGGATAGGTGACCTGGGAAGTCATCGTGTTGCACCCAAGAAAAATAGCTCAAATCATTAGTCTGGGTGGTGTAGTTGGTCATAACGCTAGTCTCACGCACTAGAGGTCCCCGGTTCGAACCTGGGCTCAAACACAATAATTATTTTAACATTGTTATTGTCGGTCTCAAGTCCGGATGTGAAAAGTTGAGGGTTGCGTTAGGTAGTCGACAGTTAATTGGAAACTAATGTGAGATTGTTAGCCCACAGGTGAGGGAGTGGTGGGAGCTCTGGAGTGTCAGTCGGTATCTTCTCAATCTAACCACGAAATTAGGGATCAAACTCTGAATTAGTCAATGTTCTTTATGCACTTGAAAGAGGGTAAAGAATATAATTGCTCATATTTGACACAAAACAATTTTTAATATATTTTTAAATGATTTTAATTTCTTCGCAATCCATATACTCATTATAAAGGGGATGAATGTTTTCTTAAATTTGAACGCTTTGTCTCAGAAACTTTGCTTGGTTGTCATAAGTTTACTTTTCAAGTTTATCAATTATTTTAATTAACTTAGTTCTTTTAACTACATTTTATTTAGCATACACAATTACTTTAGATTCGAATTTTGTACTTAACTTTTGTAATTTGAATTGTATTTTACATTATATTTATAAGAATTTATTCATAAGTATTTCCAACATCCCTGAGGGATCCATATATAGAACTTCATTAAAATCATTTATTACTTGAGTGATACGTATACTTGCGTTATTATTACAGGTTTGGCAGTTTAAAGATTTTAAAAGATAAAATTATTTTTACTAAAGTTATTTTTATTTAGATTTGAATTGCATATTTATTATTAGCATTGATGTGTGTGTGTTTTGAAGTACTGAAAAATATTTATAAAAACAGCACACAAAAATCGCACATCAGTACTCTCAATGGTAAATTAATGGAACTAGTTGATATTATGATGCATAAAAATTAATATCTTATGTATTCAAGAAACTAAATGGTTGAGGAAAAGGCTAAGGAGATTGATAACTTAGATTTTAAACTTTGGTATTCTAGTAAGAGTCGCACTAGAAAAGGTGTGGGTGTAATTATAGAAAAGAGTTTGAAAGGTAAAGTTGTAAAAATTAATAGAGTTTGAGAAAGAATTATTGCCCATAAGATTATCATTGATACTAAGCTTTTTAATATTATAAGTGTTTATGCTCCTCAAGTAGGTTTAGATATAGGCTCTAAAGATAAATTTTGGAATGACTTAGACGACTTAATACAAATGATGCCTCTTGAAGAAAGAATTTTTTATTAGAGAAGATTTAAATGGACATGTTGGTAGAGTGGTGGAAGATTTTAGAAATATTCATGGTGGATAAGGTTTTGTAGTGACTAATGAAGAAGGTAGATCTATTTTAGATTTTTTGAGTATGATTTTGTTATTACTAGTACTTTATTCAAGAAAAAAGAAGAAAATCTTATTACTTCCAAGAATGGATCTAATAAAACACAAATTGGTTATTTTCTTACGAGAAGAAGAGATCGTCGAGATTGTAAAGATTATAAAGTCATTCCAAGTGAGGAATTAAGTACTCAACATCGTTTATTAGTTCTAGATTTTAAGATGAAGAGTTGTAAAATAAAGATTATCATGACTCATCATCGTAGAATTAGATGGGGAACCTAAAAGACAAAAATAAAATTATTTTTATGAGTAAAATTCAAGATTTCAAAATTTCGGATGTTCATGATGAAGCAAATACTATGTGGGATAAGAAGTTATGTTATAAAAATTGGTTTAAACGTAAAAGCATAGAGAACATGAAAAAATATCAAATGGCTCACAGGGAGTCTAAAAGAACAATATGTGACGCTAAAAATTTTGTTTTTAATGATTTTTATAATAAATTAGATACATCGAGAGTGAAAAGATACACAAATGAACTAGTGCAAAAAGATAAGAAAAGTAAAATTTAGTTCAAGTAAAATGTATTAAAAAAGAAAATCAAAAAGTGATTTTTTTATATAAAGATATTCAACAGAGTTATTTTGATAAACTTTTTAATGAAGTTTCTGAAAATACGATCGACCTTAGTGATTTTAATATCGTTAATAATAATAAAACGTTTCATTTTTACCGTCGCTTTAGTAAAAAAGAAGTTGAGGATGCTTTAAAGAAAACCAAAGGGTGAAAAGTCTGTAGAACCTGATGATATCCCAATTAAAGTATGGAAATGTTTAGTAGATTTAGGAGTTTGTTGGATTACTAAACTCTTAAATATTATTTTAAAAACTAAAAAAGATCTTTGAGGAGTGGAGGAAGAGTATTTTGGTCCCTATTTCTAAGAATAAAGGGGATGCACAAGAGTGTGCAAATTATAGAAGAATTAAGTTGATGTGTCATACTTTAAAATTATGGGAGAGGATAATTGAACATAGGTTAAGACGTATCACAAAGATTTCTCATAATCAATTTGGATTTATGTCGAGCAAGTTTACCATGGAAGCTATACATTTATTGAGAAGTTTGATGAAGAAGTTCAGAGATAATAAGAAGAATCTACATTTGATTTTTATTGGTTTAGAGAAAACCTACGATAACGTTCCAAGAGATATCCTTTGGAGAGTTCTTGACAAGAAAGGTGTTGATATGACTTATATTCAAGTCATTAAATATATGTATACTGGAGTTGTTACTTGCATTCGAACTAAAGGAGGATTGACCAAATATTTTCTTATTTTAGTTGCATTACATTAGGAATAGCAGGGATCGACTTTAAGCCCATATATTTAAGCCCATATATTTTTGCTTTATTTATGGATGGTCTTACTGGACATTTACAGGAGGATGTACCTTGGTGTATGCTTCTTGCTGATAATATCCTTCTCGTGGATAAGGCGAGAGAGAAAGCCCAGGAAAAACTTAAATTATAAAGGTCTACATTGGAGTCTAAAGGCCTTCATTTGAGTAGAACCAAAACACAATACATGGAATGTAATTTTAGTAGTAGTAGCTCTAGTGACGGAAGTGAAACTTTGGGTGATCAAATTAATAAAAGATGTAATCGATTTAGATATCTTGGGTTTGATGTTCAAAGTGATGATGATATAGATGGGGATGTTAATAGTAGATCACAAGTTGGTTGGTTGAAGTGGAGGAATGCTTCGGGCCTTTTGTGTGATAGAAAAGTACTGCTTAGACTGAAAGGAAAATTTTATAAGACGGTGGTGAGACCGGCAATACTCTATGGCGTTGAATGTTGGTCTTTAAAAGAGAAGCATAATACTAAGTTAAGTGTTGTCAAGATGATAATGACTAGGTGGATGAGTGGCTTTACAGTTAGAGACAAAATGTGAAATGAATATATTCGTGATAGGGTTGGTGTAGCTCTTGTGACGGACAAAATTAGAGAAGTCTTAGATGCTTTGGTCACATTAAGCATCGACCATCTGATGATCCAATTAAGAGAGTAGATGCTTTAGATTCTACTCATGTTAAGAAAAACAGAGATAGACCTAGAAAGACTTGAGCTTATTGTATAAAAAATGATCTTAATTTATTAGAACTAAATGAAAATATGACACTAAATAGGACGCAATGGAGAAAAAGGATTTATTTAGCCGATCCCACGTAGTGGGATTAAGGCTTTGTTGTTGTTTTGGTGATAAAACCTACAATATTTTATGGCACAGAATGTTGGTCTGTAAAAGAAAACCATAAAATTAAGTGTTGATGAGGTGAGTATGCTCAGGTGGATGAGTGGCTTTACACTTAGAGACATGATATGAAACGAATATATCTATCAATGTGTTTGGGGTAGCTCCAGTGACAAACAAGATTTGAAAGCGTCGCCTTAAATGGTTTGATCACATTACACGTCGACCATCTGATGACCTTCTTAGGAAAGTAGATGTTTTAGATATGAATTATGTTAAGAAAGGAAGAAGTCGACCTGAAAAAACTTGGGCATGTTTTATAAAAATAATCTTAATTCATTAGAATTAAAAGAAAATATGACACTCAATAGGATGCAATGGAGAAAAAGGATTTATGAAATTGGTTCCACTCGGTGGGATAAAGGTTGGTTGATGTTTTTGAACACGTCTAAAGAATCCACCAATAATTATGACCATATTTCTGAAAACTAAACAGATCTTAGCACCAATACAATCATTCAATATTGCCCAATAGATATAGAAATAAATGATCATCAAACGTAAGTACAGCAAAGAAAATACTATTATCTTACTCATTCATATATCAATAATAGTAAAAAGAGAGTCAAATTGCTCAAGAAAAAAAAGTCATAATGTTATTCACTTACAATTGCATATTCAAGTCCAAAGTTGGATCAGCGGGAGCCAGATTGAAAGCTAATTTCAAACTTTGCTCTTTATAGTATCTGATAAATCCAACATGAAATGGCAATATAAATTAGTACTTGGGGCTCTGTTTGATTGAGCCCATGTTCATATTTTTCAATCAAAAATTCACAAAGGCTACATTACTAGCCGCAACCTAACTATTATTAGAAAATCAGTATTTCTATAGCAAAATGTGCAAAACATGGTCCATTTTTCATCCAAACAGCATGCAACTTTTTTTTGCAATTCATCCCATCACAAAAGAGGAAAAAGGCTACACCAAAAAAGGCCTTAGAAACTGAATTAAGAGCATGAAAAAGTTTTTCTTTTAAAATTATAATCAATACTAACCTTACAATGAAAGAATGACAGGAGAAAACTGCTTGCATAGTAGATGCCATGTAACAGCTGAAAGAATAATATCATATCAATACAAAGATAGATAAAAGTGACCAAGTCTTCGCCAATCAAACTAAAATTACCTATTCCCAAGATTAATGAGCCCAGTGTAGCCCGGCCCAATCAAGGGCTCCAGTTCCTGTCCACTTTCCTGGATTCTATTCCAGTCAAAATTAAAATTTTGGTCGAGTTCCTTCTCTGCAGTGGTCATTTCAGTCTGCAAAAGAAGAGGACTTTACCTTCATACTTGATTCAGAAATTTATTTCTTTACATGAGAATGCTGATGCACACTTAGCCAGAAAAAGGAAACTATCAAACAAAAATAGGTGCAGTTTAACTACGACTATAAGTACATTAGAACAGCTGATCCTTTGATTTGGAACTGCCCCAATAAGCCTGGACTATATCTCTGTACCACCAGATTGACCTGGCCTACTTCGGTTTCTCGCACAAAACTTATGTTTATATAGAATAATTATAAAATAAGCTATACACGAATGTTTCACATTCCAGGGAAATTGTTACTTCCTAGCAAACAATTTCCATCCATTGTTTCTGATCCAACAGTTTTTAAAGTAGTAAAGCCCCTAATATAGTTGAGTCCATAGATTGTCAAGCTTTAAGAGCATTGGGATGATAATTATTTTTGCAATTGCCCTGGAATATTCAGACAGCTTACCAGAATGCAAGCGCAATGAAAGCCATGCAGTTGCATTACTCATAAACCAAGCAAAGTTTACTTGTTAAAACAACACTACCTGAAATCATTTTGCATGAAAGATACTTCAAAGATATCAATAAGAAGAAAAATAAGGGATTAGATTTGGTTAGTCATAACAAAAAAGGCAGCAAAGGCTAAAGATACTTCAAAGATATCAATAAGAAGAAAAATAAGGGATTAGATTTGGTTAGTCATAACAAAAAAGGCAGCAAAGGCTCCTAATGGGCCCATACTAATAATAACTCGATCTTAATGTGTATTAGAGCCAAAAAGTGCTGCAGAGCCTAGAGTTGGGAAGCTTTCTATTAGGGATTTAAGGTTTACGTTGAAATAGAAAGTGAGGTTTGCTGAGTTTTGAAGAGAGGTTTTGCACTGGAAGGAGCTGGAGTTATCAGGTAGAGGAAGCAAGGGGTTAGAGAGATGAAGATGAGGCAGGGAGGGGAGAAGATATAAAGAGAGGAGATAGGTCAGAGAGCACAGGAACGCAGAGGGGAAGGAAGACCAAGAGGAGGGAGAGCGACATCAGGATAGAAGAACCAGGAGAGCATAAGAATTCACTGGATGATGAAAAAAGATTCTTTCATTGCATAAACTGCTTAGATCCACAGAAAGGCACAGACCCTATAAATCCTAAGAGGATATACATAAATAACCAAAATGAATTAGCACATACAAATTGTAGAAAGATGGAAAAACTACATTTTCCCATTTTCAATTATCAAATTACATAATAAAGAACGGCTAGGGCATGATTAATTACAACAATTATAACATACCGAAGTAAATATAGCTCAAGAAGAAAAGAAGTACGACGTAATTTGAAAAGAATGAAAGAGCATAAAACTAAAATAAGAAACTCAGAATTTCACACTCCCCCTCAAGCTGGGGCATGGATGTTGTAAAGACCCAACTTGATATTCAAATCAATGAAGTTGTCTGGAGGAAGAGATTTAGTGAAGACATCAGCGACTTGGAGCTGAGTTAGGATGTAGATTAAGTGAATAATGCCTCAATTGACCTTTTCTGAACTGAAATGTCTATCAAGCTCAATGTGTTTGGTCCTGCCATGAGGCACAGGATTCATCGCAATATTAATTGCGACTTGGTTATCATAGAACATCTTTATGGGAATCACTATCCTAAATCCAAACTTGTTTAGTAACCTTTGGATCTATATTCCTTCACAAATTCCCAAAGACAGTGCTCGATGTTCAATTTATGCACTACTTCTAGAGACCATTGTTTGCTTCTTGCACCTCCAAGTAACAAGATTTCCCCAGACATAGGAACAATACCCAAAAATGAACCTTTTGTCCATGAGTTATCCACCCCAAGTACCATCACCTCAACCTCCCTATTGATTGATCTCTTAAACAATAACCATCTTTCAGTGGTCTTCGTAAGAAACCTCAACATTCTGCAAATCATCTCAAAATATTCCTCATTCGAACTATTCATATGTTGACTCATAATGCCGACAGAGTAAGCAATATCAGGCCTAGTATCTGATAGATAAATAAGTTTACGTACCCGTCTATGGTATCTACCAATTTCACTTGTGTCGTTTTTCCTTTTCAATATAATTTTTTGTTGAAATCCATAAGAATCTCAGCAGGATTGCATCAAGCATTCCCGTCTCTTTTAGTAGGTCTAAAATGTATTTCTTCAGAATATCACAATACCCATCTTGAACCTGGCCACTTCCATACCAATAAAATATTAAATCACTCCAAAATTCTTATTTTCAAACTCAGAGGCAAGAACCACTTTAATCTTCCTAGTATTTTTTTCATCATCACCTGTCGGGATCATATCATCTACATAGACAAGGAGTATAATCTTCTGACCTCCATATGCATATTTTATGACTAATGTATGATCCATTTGGCATTTAATATAACCATTATATTTTGTAGTCTTGGCAAACTTGTAAATAAAACACTTAATAGATTATTGAGGCCACAAAGAGACTTTCTCAGTTTACAAATCGCATGTTTAGTTGAGTTATTTTTAGTCCTGGTTAGATTTCCATATGCATTTCTTTCTCAAGAACTCCATTCAAAAATGCATTCTTCATATCAAGCTGATATAATTCACACTCTTTGTTCACTGCCATAAAAAGAACTCTTGCGGTATTTAACTTGGTCACTGAAGCAAATGGCTTGCTTCTCTTGATAGTTTATCCCATAAGACTGAGTAAAACATTTGACAGTCAACCTAATCTTGAACCTCTCGACGTTCCCATCTGCTTTGTACCTGGCATTCAGCACTCAATAACCTTCCCCAAATCCACAGCGTAAAATTCACAAGAGTTAGAATGAAATTTAGTAATATAGTTCAAATCATGATTAAACTGGTTAATTGAAATTAAGTTGCAATCTAATTAAGAAACATATAGCACATAACAAAGCTGGATATCTTTGGAGACTCACTTCTTCTTTCCTATCAATTTTGGAGTGAGATCCATCAACAAGTCTACCAAATTTGGAGTTAGAGAACTCTTAGTAGTTAGTGAGAGCATGAATATCTCTGGTCATGTAATCAAAAGCATCTGAATTTATTATCCATGATAAGGGAAGACTTGGTTGGATGTTGCTTGCTGCTGAAGAAACAGTTGGGTCGTCGGAAGAATGGGCTTCAAAACGACCGGAAGCTATAGGAAAGAGGAGTTAGGGTGTCGACAAGAAAAGATCAACAAAGGAGGAATTCCTGCGGCTGCAAGGCTATTGAAGAGACTTCAGAGGCTGTAAGATCAAGCATAGGAGGGCTTGCATGCAGGTTGAAGGGATTTTAGCGACTGCAAGGAGTCGTTTAATGGAGCTCACAGCTCGTGCATACGAGAGAGAAGGGCAAAGCAAAGTGGTCCGCGTCCATTAGAATTTTGTGATGTCTTCTGGGAACTGAACGTAACAAAAATTGACATGTCGAATTATGTGATCCAGCGCACACAAGAGACAGACGAAATCAGAAGGAGATGATCAAGACTAACGACACAGACGGGAAAATCCAACGTGGCTCTAATACCATGTAAAATGATCAATAAACTATATTCTCTTATTTCTCAATTATCAAATTACAACTCTTCTCCTTATATAAGAAGAAACGGCTAAGGCAAGATTAATTACAACATACCAAAGAAAATATAGCTCTATAAGGAAAAAAATAAAACATAACAAGAACGGAATAAGAGAGAATAAAACTAAAATATGTCAAACAATAGCCAAGACAATTATCAAATTATAACTAAAATATGTCAAACAATAGCTAATTAGCCTGTCAAATGAGTTTTGCAGCACTTGCTATAATGGTGTTGCGAGTAGTCAATAAGCAGCATGATAACTGCCACCAAAAAGAATGCTATTGCAAATTATTGTAATTGTTGAAATTCAGAATAATGCGGAATAAAGCGAAATAGTGGGATTAAGCCAGTATCAGCTCATATGAAAAGGGGTATAATTAACCTTTACATGAATCCTAAAGTACTAAATATAATAAAAAATAAATAATACGAAAGAAAATATATAACTTATAATATCTCCAATTAATCAATTCATAATAACTATTTAGGGATAAAGAAAACAACATAAAATATAAACGAGAAAAGGAAATAACTTCTAATTCAAAAAAATAAATATAAAATAGAAAAGGAAATAACTCTTAATATAAGTAAATAATTTATTCCTTATAATTTCCCACATGAATAAATTATTTCTTATCATAACTCCTAACACTTCCCCTCAAGTTGAAACATGATCAAAAATCATGTTCAACTTAGATATAAAAACAACAAATAATGGGCGAGGAAGATCCTGAGAGGTAGAACTTGAAGTCTTTGTCTCATATTGTGTTGTCTTTAAGTGCAGTTCATGCAATGTCTGTAGGTAAGTGCAAGACTCCTACAGTTAATGTTGCAGAGGAGTTTTGCAGAGAAGTAGACATTTAACAGGAAAAACTGACTTCAAGTTGACTGTGATTATCTTAGACTGCAGCTCATGCAGTGTCTGTAGGTAAACGGAAGGTTCCTACAAAAAATGTTGCATGAGAGTTTGCAGTGAATTAGACAGTTACGATTGTCTTTGACTGCAGTTACTGCAATGTCTATAAATAGACGAAAGGCTGCAAAAAAAACTATAAGGGAGGAAGTTCTGGGGTAAGAATTCAGATGGAGAGTTTGCTGCAATGAAAGCTCAAGGGGAGGGGCTGATACAGGAAAAAGTTTCAGAGTATGATCATGAAACAGGAAAAGGCTCTGAAGGAGGGCCTACTGCAGAAAAAGCTCCGGAGGAGGCCTGCTACAGAAAAAACCTAAAGGAGTTTGGTGCAATTTCATATTTTTTCCTTTCGATTTGACAGGAAAGCACTGCAACATCAGGAAAAATCTTTCACTATAAAGAAGTAAACCTAGGGCAGCATGAAAAGAGGCACCTGCAAAAATGTATCTTGAACAGAACGATAATGACTTGAATGGGCTTCCACCACATAAGCAGCCACAGAAACACCCACACTAAATGAATGACTGCCTTAACTACATAGAAAGCTGGTCTGAGGCAATCACACAACACTCCCCCTGCCTGGTCATATATCCACCAAGCAAGTGCCCTCACTTTTGCAATGGAAGCCAGAGCGGCGGCACCAAGCAAGCAATTTAGGGAATCAAGGAAGCTGGATTGTTGAAAACTAGGAAATTGGACTGCTACAGGGTACAGGTGCACAAAACAAAATAGTGCGAATGACCTGCAGGGAAGGCAGCGAGCAGGTGCACCTCCAGGAAAAGTTGCACCTTCAGAGGTAAGGACCCGCAAAAAATCAATGAAGCCAAAGTGTTGAAAACTAGGAAGCCAAACTGCTGAAAATATGTAGGAAATCAGGATAACCAGACTGTTGGAAGATAGGAAGCCGGAAGCCACTAACGTAACTGCACCGAACAAGGAAGTTATTGTGCTGAAAATCGTACATAGAAAGGGCAGGTTTGCAAGTTTTATCCTTGATGTACGTGCAAGGTTGTTGCTTTATACTAAATCCTTTGATAGAACCAAAGAAGAGAGAGACCAAAATAGTAAATGCAACCATAAAGATCCCCAGATAAGATAGCCGCATGTTCCGTTCTTATTGATCTTTAGTGATGTTGTTTGTCTCTCTAGTGACGAGCAACAACTAAATTAGGGCAAGGTGATCCAGATCACAGCCACCACCAAGATCATAATCTCATATCTGACATTTCCAATAAAGAGAGAGAGTCTCCTCGTGATCTTGACTTTGGGATTTCCACTGGAAAGAGAAGGTTGCCTCTTTGGCATTGGAATTTCCACTTGAAAGAGAAGAACCGTTTTTTTCCTCTCCAAAAGCTCGGCTCAGGGCAGGCGCAAGTCACGTGGGATTTCCACCAAAGTTGGGAATCGCATCTGCTGCAATGGCGGGATCCGTTCCAGGGATTTGTTCCGGCGGCGAGGGCCTGTAGAAAGGGTCCCTCACTTCCTGCAAGAACGATGGCATAAAGAGAGTCTGGCGGCTCTCAAAGGACGATCTACGGTACAAAATTTTGCTCTGAAATCATGATGAAATTCAGAGTAATGTGGAATAAAGCAAAATGAAGTGAAATTAAGCTGGTATCAAGTCAGTGATATGAAATGGGTATAAATAACCATTATATGGATCCTAAAATAAGAAATACAAAAAAAAATAATATGTAAGAAAATATTTTTTAATCTTAATATCTCAATTAATCAATTCATAAAAATTATTTAGAGATAAAGGAAACAACATAAAATAGGAACGACTAAAATATAAGAGAAAATAACTAATAATCCAAGGAAATAAATATAAAATAGAAAAGTAAATAACTCTTAATCTAATGAAATAATTTATTTCTCATAATTTCTCACATAAATAAATTATTTCGTAGTATAGCTCCTAACAGAATTACATAAGTTTCAGTTATGCATAAGCAAAAGGAAATTTGTCATCCAATGATAAGTACATTATGTTAAAGAATATGCACAGAAAGATTGATTATGTTCACCACCAATATGACAATAAAAAACACAGTATTAGAAGGATGGAAATTTTCAATAATGTACTCTCGGAAAAAGCATAATTCTTCCATAAAACACAACTGACCTTTTGCAATGCAGAAAAATCAATGCCAAAAAATGCCAAGTGCTGAGCTAATAAAGGATCATCGACACTATCATCCTCCGGATAAGAAAAAACATCTACAGATTCAAAAAAAAAAAGTTAGTAAAAAGTTGCTAACTTAATCGGATTTTTTACAACAAAAAAGAAAAAAATCAAGGCACAAACTAATAGCAGAATGGTAAATATTTCTATAAGCATAAATTATAAATGCATAAAAATGACAAAATGTACAAGAAATATGAATCTAAGCATGCACGCACATGAAATAAAACTTAGAATAGAATCAATGCCAGGAATTTTATCTGCGACTTCAATTTGCATTGCATGGAAAAATTAAGCAAAACCATATGGCTTGATCTGAGTTGGGTTAATAATCACATACAATTACAATATCTGATCTCCTGAACACCCTATCATGTGCACAAGCAAAAATACAAAAACAGAAAAAAAACAAGAGGACCATCCAAACAAAATCACAATTAACAGATGGTTCGTAATTCCTAATTACAACAGCTGGAACCACAAGAACCACATGTGTGATGGCAAACTATAAAAGCATAAGGCACCATCTTGCCTCAAACAGTTGAGGAAAAGTCACATTTCTGGTCACGTATAATGCACATAAAGAAAAATGCGACACACCCAGAAAACCTAGAGATTAAGGCTTCATTAGTAATTTTGGCTTTTTAAAAAAACGTGTTTACCCTCCTTAAATTATCTTGGGGAAGTAAAATAAATAACCTTACATTAGCCCCTACATAATTTTAGGAACACGGAGAACATACATATTGAATAAAACGTTCAACTATATGAGAATAGCTGATACCATTATAATGAAGTACAACACGGCATTATCAAATAAAGATAAAATATCCAACTGGTCTTTCAATATGTGATATCCCATCCTCTTCCAAGACATGCCAAAACCTCAGCATAATTTAATTTGCAGCTATAACTGAAAAATGAACTAGAAAGCTAAATTGAAAATATTAAACAAAATATCCTAATCCAACAAATCCAGCATCAAATCACCAATTTAAAATCCAAATGAAACCTAACTAAACTAGCTCCCTGTCCCTAAATCATCAACAATCTAAGACACACATCATTTGCCACATGAATGCTCCTTCCAGTTCATTTTTTTGTTAAGAGTGCACGGTATGTACTCTTTTAATGTAATATTTTTTATAAGAAAAAAATACCTATGTTAACTTATGCCTAATCTGTTTCTTTCTATACTTTTCATATTAAGTCTCTCTCTCTCTCTCTCTCTCTCTCTCTCTCTCTCTCTCTCTCTCTCTCTCTCTCTCTCTCTCTCTCTCTCTCTCTCTCTCTCTCTCTCTCTCTCTCTCTCTCTCTCTCTCTCTCTCTCTCTCTCTCTCTCTCTCTCTCTCTCTCTCTCTCTCTCTCTCTCTCTCTGCAGTCCAATTGCTCCATATACATGTTGACCCATCTAAATTTGTTTACTAGCGTTCTCTAAAACAGACATTGCTCATAGTTTCACTATATAGACATTTCCACTCTTACCCCTCCAAAGTATATATATTACACATCTATCTAAAATTTTATTTCCCACAAGATATTTTGTAGTTATAGATTTTTTTTTTCATTGGAAAGCACTTGATTCCATATAACATAGTGATCTTCTATTAAAATGTATAAAATTCACAACACATTTCTCCATTTCAACTACCCTCTATAATAATAAAAGCTTTAATACAACCGATATTTCAGTTATTTTATACAATAAAGCATAGTTATCAAGATGCCAACAGGTCTACAAAACTTCACAAACCTTTTAGCGGTACCCTTGCTCATCAAAATACAATAAATCAATTTCCATGACAGTCAGTCATATGGCTTCATTAAGTCAAAAAATTAACGCAAAGATATTTTAGTTATTTATGCTTTCTAAAAATTACCATGTCTATCTATGTTCTTAACTAATTATCGAATCGAATGGGTCACTGACGTGGGAAAGCACCCGCTTCGGATACAGGACGCAAACCGTGACTCCCCCGATCGTGGGAGACGGACCAAAAAAGATCGTTTTCCTTTCTATGTTTTTTTTCCTATCATTATTCATTCCTTTTTAGTAATTTCATATATATGTGTTGTATGTTTCAGCTTTTTTTGATTTCCGCCAAGACAGTCTTCGGGGTCCCACGTGTTCCCTTCTAGGGTTGTATCTGAGAGTGGTGCTTCAACTATATCTCGCTACATCCTCCGCACCCTCCCCATCGCCACTGTTGTAGTTGTAATTGTTGCAACCTCCCCCCTCTTCCCAAATAGCACCATTGTTGTCTCCTACAGACCCGCGCCTTCCTGTCACCTCTGTCGTCGCCGCTAGGGGTGTAAACGAGTTTTCGAGCTTAAAATTTTGTTCGTGTTCGACTCGTTAAACATAATGAACGAGTTCGGCTAGTTTGCTTAACGAGCCGAACACGAGTGGTTCACGAACAAAGAATCGTTTTGGCAATTCTAATCACATAGCCATAAGATGTTAAGCCATAAGATGTTAAGTATTGATGTTAAGTATTGGGGCAAGATTTAAAAAGTATTGTTTATATTAAAACGTCATTTGAATCTAATTTAATATTTTTTATTCTATTTTTTTAATTAATATTTTTAGTTGATTATAAATCTGTGTAGCCTTGCAGTTAATTATTTTTTTTTTTAAATACTACTCATCAAAGATATAATTTCGAGTCAAAACGAGCCGAACACGAACGAACAAATCTTTGTTTGTGCTGTTCGTGTTCGGCTCGTTAACTTAGCGAACGAGCCGAACACGAGCTTCTTAACGAGCCGAACACAAGCTGTTCGCGAACAAGTGTTGTTCACGAACAACGAGCCATATTGAAAGCCATAGTCGCCGCAACACTATTACAGCCTCCCTCTTCACAGCCCCTACAATTCCAGCGCTCCCGCTTGCTGCCATCGCTTTTCCATCTACCAGAAATCCCCTTCTATTTGCACCAATTATTGTCCCAGCCATCCCAGAGCACGTTTCTACAACCTGATCAGTATCCCAACCCTCTTGCACCACCTCCCTGCCACATATTTGTTGTTCCAGCCTCAGATAACCCAAATTCCATCTTGTTGCCACCCAGGACAGCAAGGACCTACTGATTCGTTGTCATATCAACCCACTTGCTCCGCGTTCCGGCCTTAGCCGCCACCATTGCGGACCCCAAATGGCCACCACCATGATTTGTGATCCACCATAGTTGGAGTTGGTGTTGTCATATGTTGCAATTTCAGATTTTTATGTGTAATGTTTTTTGTAATTTTCCTTTCAGTTGTGTGGGTGTAACTTTCCTATTTGAATTTTAGCAATAATATTTTGTTATTTATTGATATTCGGGTTACCTCAGATATCATTCACATGATAAAAAAGGTTTGAAGCTCTTGGTAAATTGGGATAGGGGTGTAAACGAGTCGGGTAAGACTAGAGCTTAATTCTAAGCGTTCAAGCCGACTTGTTTAACATGAAAAAGAGAAAAAAGTATTAATTTAAGCTAATGTTATAGTTAAAAAATAAATAGAATGAGTATTTAGATGTTAATTAAAAAGAAATCACTCACGAGCTACCTTGTTAGCTTATCAAGCTCAATTCACGAGCCACTTATCGACTCGAGCCCATGTCGACTCAAGAGTTGGCTTGGCTCACCTACACCCCCAAATTGGGATGCCTCTAAGAATATTGGGATAATCAACATTTATACTTTAAGATAATCAGCATCTTTTCAAACTCTTAATTCCACAACCTAAGGTTACACGGTGACAAAGATTCTCAAAAAAGAATGACGCGCACGCACGCACAATTTCTCTTTTATGAAATACATATCAAACTAAATATGCTTAGTATAATAGTGTTATATAAGATTGTTTGTAATACTAATAGCGGTTTTATTATCACAATATACTTTCATAGATTATTTCCACTTGATTTTCAACTACTCTAATATGGTTTTGATCCATATAACTAACAGATCCTTTACCTTGGGTCAAGTCTAGCCCAACCCTACGTTCCTTAACTAAGGCTTTCTCCAACCCCGCCTTTTTCTCGACGTTCTACCCTTCACTATGTCCATTCTTAACTAGCGCCTTTTTAAAGAAATTCCAAGTGAGATGATTTTTATGTCAGTTTCGTCGATGCGTATTAGAGTGTCACCAAAGACGAAGATTGTCATCACGCAAGGAGTGTCTAGCAAAATAACATTCCGTGAGCAGCCCCACATTTGCTTTTGACTTCTCTAAGTTTGAGTTCAAGGTTTACACTTGATTCTGAAACAACGGGCAACTTTTGTTTTTTCCATTTTTCCTTTTTCAAGCTGAAAGATTTCCTCCAAAGAATGCAATATAACTTGAAGTAGACTTTATATCCATCAATAATCTAGCATATTTTGCATTTATGTATCTTTTAATTTGCCGGTATCATATATTTTGTATAAAATTCATTTTTTTAAGCTTAATTTAATATATTTGACGATTTTATATGCGCCTTAAAGGTGTCTTTAGATTTGTGCATGAATTTGCTGACTAGGCTTACTGTGAAGGAGATGTCAGCATGGGCGTGACATCGGTAGATTAGCTTTCCTATTAGCATTTGCTATTATCTCATATCAACATCAGTTACATATTCATCAAGGTCCAATTTTACCCTAATTTAGTTAAAGTTCCACACGGGTTGCATCCCTTCATTTTAGTCTCTTTAAGCAGTTCCACATCATATTTTTGTTAGAAGAAAAATATCATTTGTTTAAATTACGTCACTTCTATGAATAAGCATTTGAATTATACTAACTCTTTGATTTCGAATGCAACAAACTTTTACTTAAGAGCTTCTTTATCTTGATTGGCATCTCCTATAACAATCATATTATCAATATATAAAACAAAAATTGAGATTTTGTCATCAAAAGAGTACTTTATGAAGAGAATATAGTCTTATCAACTCTGTTTTTATACAACTCCTTCCATGACCTTTCTTCGTCTGTCAGATCAAGCTCTTGGTGATTTTTCAATCCAAATAGTGTCTTTTTCAATCTGCAAACATGACTGTTTTTTAAGAAGCCATCAAATCCTGGTGGGTAGAGATCCACAAAGACACCTCCATCAACATCACCATATAAAAAAGTATTTTATACATCATATTGATGTATAAACCACTCATGATTTGTTGTTAAATATACCAAATGAAAATAGGAACAAAAATTTCTTGATAGTGAATCTCATATGTCATATTACTTTCATATCAATCGCATTTTCTATATTTACATACTCTCATTTGATTTCTATTTTGACCGTGAAAATCCACTTGTATTTTACCATCTTATTTTCTTTTGGGTCAGAAATATCAAGATGAAAAGTATCATCAAATTTATCAAGTTGGAATCTCCCCTAAAAATGAGTTTAAGTGAAGAAGATATATATTTCATCAAAAGTGACATTCATGGAAGTGACAAACCTTTTTATGGGATAAATGACAACATTTATACCTCATTTGTGTGTCATTATATCTGATGAGTACGCACTTGATAGCTATTGGATCAAATTTTTCTTTAGGTTGTTTATAAAAATGAACATGAACTAAATCAAAAAATTTTAGTAGGGATTTTTGAGTAGTTGTTTTAAGAAAAAATTTTACCGAGTCATTTAATGAACTTTTAGATTCAATTAAGTACTTTGGAGGATATTTTATTGATTAAATAGGTAGTTAAAGTAATTTCTCCCCAATACTAGATTGTCGAGAAGAAATGTCAATCACCTCCAAAAGATGAATTTTTTTCTGTCTCTCTATTTTGTTTGGGAGTTTATTATAAGAAGACTGGTGGACGATACCCTCTCTTTCAATTAATGAAACTAAAGTGTGATTAAAATAATCAAGAGCATAATCAATCCTGAAAAATTTAATATTAGAGTTATATTAATTCTTTAAAATTGCAGTAAATATAAAGAGTATAATGTGAACATTGAATTTTTGTTATATTAAATATACTCATGTTATTGGAGTATAGTCATCAAAAACGTGTAAAACTAGTGTCTTCAACGAAGTTGGAGTATTTAGAGAGTCCCAATAAATTAGAATGAATCAATACAAAGGGACTATATGATCTAAAATTTCACAAATGAAAATTTTAATATTTTTATTTATGAATAATGAGAAAACATACATTACAGTTGACTTTGACTTGGAACATTTTACAATGAGAGAATTGACTTGGAACATTTTACAATGAGAGAAATGAATGACGGATGAAGTTGTCCGATTTAGAGATTAGAGTTATTCCAGATTGAAAACATGCCTTTGGATTTGCTTGGAAACTTTGAGATTGATGTTGGAGATAATGGCTTGGACATCAAAGTCTAATTGGTGCCTCAAGATTAGTATTTATCCTTGAGCTCAATTAAGGGGCTACAAATAATCTGGCAATTTCAAAGTGCAATTTCCAAAGGCCCATTGCCTTGTGTTGTCATCACTAGTTTTGGCACTCTTGATAGAATAAAAAAGAGTAGGGGTCAATTGTTTCAAGAAAATACCAATACATATGCTGGAGAAAATTTTGTAGACAAATTTTAGTATGGCGAAGTACAAAATCAATACTTTGTTGCAAGACTCTGAACATGTAGGCTAGAGATGGAGTTTTAGTTCATTTCTTTTTTTTTTTTTTTGGGGGGGGGGAGGTATTGCATGAGTGAAAGCTTCTATAATTCTATCAAAACTCATCAACCAGTTTACAGAGAATTTGCTAAAAACTACAGCTACTAGCCATGCACAGCAGACGGATAGCACAAACATGAAAGTGTGGTTAAACAGAGAATTTGCTACCTGCCTTCTCCAGATCAGCTGATAGAGTTCCTAATTTTACAGCAAGAGGGTAATTTTTCTCTCGGTAATGTTCAATGGCATGATTATTTCCTCCACTGCCATCCCAATTTTTTCTTCCACAAAGAATCACACCATCGGTCAAATTAAGCCAAAGGTTATCAGTCTTATCACACTTGGAACATTTCCAACCCGATGGAGGTATATGAACACCATTATTTATCTGTTCCAAATTCATCGCATAATCACTTATTTTTTTCTTCTCAGAAGTCCATGACGCTAGTTGCTCTTTCCGCTCCGCACCCTCAAAAAGTAAAACAGCATCAACAGATAGCCTAACCTGCAAATTGTCAATAGCATGATTTCAAGAAGCTCTCAATCATAAAGAAAGCGTCTGTGTCATCCGGAAGCATACCTTTTCTGGCAACTCAACGGATGGGAAAGGTAGAGTAATGTCATCAGGAAATATCACAATATTGTAGGTTTCCTCGTATTCAGGTTCTTGATTATCAAAACCTCCTTCAACACCTGCCGGTCACCCATAATTGTGAAATATTTTACTAATGCCCTTGCTTAGGAATAAAGCAAGGAACCAAAAACTCATGATGAACAACGCTTAAGAACTGAAAGACATTAAATAAAAAAAGAAAAGTGCCAAATCATGCCAAAATACCAAACAGTCAAACTAATCCAACACTCGAAGATCAACCCAAGTATATCATTAAGACTCCATGATCGATGCATGATGCATGTTTTTGCATAAAAATCCCGGCCAAAAGAACCTGGCGATCAATTTTTCTTGGGAAACACAGACCAAAAACAACAGCTAATCAATAACTTGCAAGCTATTCTTATGCTGCGTGAGCTGTGAACTTAAACAAGATTAAATGTGTGTATATCAAGTAGAAAGTAATATGAGGTTGCCAAATCAAGCAAACATGCCCGTGCAGCAACTGCGTCACATAATAAAGAATACCACTTGCCATGATGAAGGAATAACAATTTATAATGCTAAAGAGCAACCTACAACTTAGCCAAGCAAAAAAAATTTTGGAACATTTAAGTTCGTCTAAACTAAGATATAATCACAACCTTTAGTTTCCTATGCCTTTGCAAATCCAAAATTAAAAAGGTTTATCTTCTGCTGATGCAAATGTAGATGCCAGCAAAGCAAGGATACTGCTATTCTTTATTCTCCCTGAAGTAGGCCACAACGAGGAATGCATAGCGGCGAATGGAAATTCAGAATGCCTTTATGCCATGCTCCGAGTTATTATGATTTCAAAAATAATCTTTTGCAGAAATAAAATTATGTATTTCTGAAAGCTTTTGGTTATTGATTGCTGGTTGTGATGCAAAGGTTTGGCCACTTTGTTTCAATACAATGGTGGCGCCTATGCTTTGTTTGCATCTTTTTTTAGATCCAACCATTTCTTTATGAAATGCACGTAATCAGGGTGGAAGTGTTGATAACATTTTGGATAATGGTCAAATCTTTGGTATATATGATATACTTTAAAACCTTCTATGGTTGTGAGTTTTGGAAAAGATCACTATTTTTGTGCTTCTATTTTCTGCAACTTTAAAACGTTGATTTATGAATAAATTTTTGCACTCAATTATTAGTAGAAAAAGAAACTAAAGGAAATCAAGGAAAAAGAAGATTTGATCCCTCATGATGCACAAGCTCACAGATTGAACAAAATATTTACATTTACTATTATTTGTTAATTTTGTTTACGTAAGCAAAGATACAAAGTAGTTAATTCTATGATAAACTGTGCTAGCAGTTTATTATGTTGCAGTATTAATTTCTAATCACGCATCATTACTTTTAAAAGAGTTGGGACTTAGCTAATTAGCTCCATTAACACTCTTCCGCACAGTATATACTGCCACCCATGAACCTTAACAAGAATGATTTGTTCAAAGCCCTTGCATGAGGCCAACCACCTATTTGATGAAGATGGCTGCTCGTTGATTTGTGCTTGTGTATAAATGTAGACAAATAAAAGAAGAGAAAACTTCAATCTTATTTCTTACTCCAAATTTTAGAGGTACATATTTATAGTTTCTAAAAAATCAAGTATTGATCTGTGATTGATTTAATAAGAGCAAATGGATTGCGTGATGAGCAACTGATGAGGGAACCATGGTTTTCAAAATCTTTACTTGCCATACAAGCTTAAAAGACATGATGAATATTAATAGCTTGGAAGTTATGTCATTGAATTGTGATTGATCAAGAGCTTGGTCAAGATATCTGCTATCCGAAATTTTGCTGAGGAGTGAAGCATTTGAATGATCTTTTGGATTATTTTTTCCATTATAAAATGTATATTAAATTCAACGTGCTTGGTTCAATCAGGGTGAACTGGATCATAGGCAATGTTAATTATAGATTGATTACCATATATCAGTATCATTGATTATTTAATATGGATGTTTAAGTCTTTCAACAACCTTTCAGCTACATTCCTTTATAAATTTCATGAACCATAGCACTGAACTCTACTTCAGCACACTATATCTAGCAAACAACGCCTGCTTTTTTGTTCTCCAGGTGACAAAATTTCCCCATATAAATGAAAACTAATCATAGGTAAATTTTCTACTAGTTATGGACACAAGCTAGTCAGCATCAGTGAAAACTTTCATACTCCTGTATATTTCCCTTTTAAAGAATAAATCTTTTCAAAATTTATACATAGGTATCATAGTATTACATAGACGGCACCAAGGTGTTTTTTAACGGAAGCATTCATAAATTGGCGAACCACGCTAATAGAGTAACATACGTCAAAATGACTATAAAAGGGATAAATAAGTTTTCAAACCAGATATTAGTATCTCTCTGTCAACTTGGAGAATGCCACTATTATTCCGACTTTGTTGATAGATAAGAGCATTTGAGGCTTTGCATCCCGTCATCCAAGCTTCTTTTAGAAGATCTAGTGTATTTTTTTTATTGAGAAATGGATATGTCATTAGTTAATCCTGTGATTTTCAGATTGAATAAAAATTTTAGGGCTCCTAAATCTTCAATTTCAATTTATTTATTAAGATCCCTTTTAGTCTCCTGATTTCTTCCTCATAATTGCCAATTAGGAGTTGAATTTAGGATAATATAATCAACATAGACATTTAAAATGGTGATTTGATCAATGGATGATTTCGTAACAATCAAAGTGTGGTCAATCTATCATTAAGCATATACATGCTTTTTAATCATAGAAGTGATTACCTCAAACCATGCTCTCAGAGATCTATGATACCGAAACTAATAAGAAAAACAGTGGAAACACGCCAAGCAAACTTTTATTAATGTAGAGAGTTACAATACAATACAATACAACACAACAGAAAATAGAAACACAAAACATAAACGACAAAAGTAAACACGTCTACGGTGCATTTCAAAGGTGCTAGAGGTTGGTAAAGTGGATCGAGATGGTTGGCAAGGGTGGTGGTAGCCAAGGAATGCTAAGGGCAGCGAGGGGAAGGTGCAAAATTGCAAGGACAGCTAGTATGGAGGGTCGTAGATGACCGGTGGCATGCGGAGGGGTGGTTGGAAGGAGTTGGACAACAAGGACGGTGGTAGTGTGGTGAGGAACAAGCGGTTGGGAGAGCTGGGAAAAAGGGAGGATGACTGGATAAAATATGGCTGCAAGTATAGGGCGGTTGGGTGCAGGAATGAAAGAAGGGGAGGTTGGCGGCTGAAGAGAGAGGAGGAGAAGGATTGGAGAAGGTGAAAGAAAAAGGATACAGCACAACCTCAGAGTAGGATAAAGTCGTAGCACGACCACCTACTCAGATACAGCCCTAGAACAAGGAGAACATTCCACAAAGGAATCTGAAATCAGCACACAGCAAAAACTAACCCTAATGCAACAAAACAACAATATAAATAGATTCCCACATGAAAGACCAAAAAGGAAGAAGACGAGGGTAGGCAGCAAAGCCGCCCTCTCCAAACATTACTTGAGCCAAGTGGGAGAACTGAAAGGAAAACCAAAAGTGCCGCTGCCGCTCGATTCCTTTGGAATCCTGAACTGGTCCTCTATGCCAGCCGGTTCAGCCGGCAGGCTTGTTTCCCGCATCAGTGAAGAAAACTCCCGCACCAACATCAATTTCTCTAGGCCACATAAGGGTTTGTAAAGTTTACAAACTTTAACTTTGTAACAGACGGATCTCCTAAAGAGATTGTGCAAGCCTCTTTTGATTTTGAGTAACTATGTGCTATTTTCAACATCTAAACAAGTTTCATTTATTGCATCTTAGATTCCTTTTATCGTACTATAGAACATGAAATTTTGGCTAATTTGATGGTTCATGGTCATAGTGAGCCAATAAATGACCATGTTATTTTCAGATTGTCGCCATTTGTATTTTGGATTTCCATTTTGAGGATATGCCAATGAAATAATCATACTTTCATTTAAGCTTAAGAACATCATATTGATTGGGCCCATTAGAGCTATTTTTGGCCATTCCATGATTATCTGTTGTTAAAATTAGAAGAGAGCAAAAGAAGGCAAGTGAAGCCAAGTTCAAGACAAAGCAATGGCGAATTCAGGAAAAAAGACTTCAAGAGTGACAGCAACTTGCAAAATTCACAAGAGACCGTACAATACCCAAAATTTAAGTTGAGAATATATTCTTATGCCAAAATTTTTTGCATATCTAAAAAATGATCAAAAAAGTGTAAAACACGACATTTCATTTAGATCAATTTTATATATTCAAGTATATATAAATATATCGGTTTATTACCTTATAAAATTAATTTTCTAATTTATCTTACTAAAATTAGTTCACTTTTACCGTTCGCTTAAATTATTGTTCAGAGCTGGACAGTAAAGCTTTACCTTTTATACTTTCCCATGAATCCAACAGCGGTTCACAATTTCAATTGAGTAAAATCATTCTAGGATGCGTTAGTATGTATATATGTATAATTATTTATTAAAATATCCGCCTGAAGCATAGAGCTATTATAATACCTCAACTTCATGTAACCAGCAAGCCGAAAAAAAGAGTGGTGAAACATAGAGCAAGTGCCGAAGGGCAGAAATTAAAAGGGAAGGAAAGCTAGAGTTTGAAGAAAAAAATTGTTTGCATTTCTTTTGATGAATTTAGTTAGTTTGAGGCAGATAAACATAAATACTTGCGCAACGAGAAACTCTTTCAAGATAAAAATGTCATTTTGATATTATTTTGAGTAGCCCTGTGCTGTTGAAAAAGAAGTTATTATATATTGAAAAAATTATCTTTATTATATTATTTATAAAAAATCAAAACTTCGGGAAAAAATTTTAAATATATATATATATATA